TGGAATTGATAGAAACTGCAAAACACAGCTTTTACAGCATACCTCTAACAATTGCCGTACGCCGAGTTCGCGTATAACAACAGCTATCATTCTTCTATTCAGATGGCTCCTTACGAGGCACTTTATGGTCGCAAGTGTCGTTCCCCTCTTTATTGGGACGACGTCAGAGAGCGACGAATACTCGGTCCCAAGTTGATCGAGGAGACAGCAGATCAGGTCGAGTTGATCCGGCAGAGACTCAAGACAGCTCAGAGTCGACAGAAATCTTTCGCCGATCATCATCGATGAGACATTCAGTTCGAGGTTGGCGAACCAGCCTTTCTCAGAGTTCGTCCAATTCGCGGAGTTGTGCGATTCAGAAAGAGAGGGAAGCTACACCCTCGATTCATAGGCCCGTTCGAGGTTCTCGAGCGAGTAGGCGAGGTTGCGTATCGATTAGCCCTACCTCCCGAGTTATCAGGCATTCATAATGTGTTCCACGCATCTATGTTGCGTAAGTACGTGTGCGACCCCGATCATGTCATTCCTCATTCAGATATTCAGGTTCAGCCAGATCTTTCGTACAAGGAGCGACCGGTAGCTGTACTAGACCGTTAGTTCCGTCGGCTCCGGAAGCGAGATGTTCCCCTCGTGCGTATTCAGTGGGATCGCCACGGAGCTACTTGGGAGGCGGAGTCCGATATTCACGCTCGTTTTCCAGATTTTCAGTTTTGATGTACATATTTTCTTGTTCTATGTGCATAATTCATGTATCTTCAGTTATGTTTTGAATTTTCGAGGACGGAAATTTTGTAAGGAGGGAGGATTGTAATATCCCGTCAGTTTATCAGTATAAATCATGTTTATAGTTCCGATATATTAATATTGTCGTGTATTATTTTTCGGAATTAATTAATTCAGTCATTTCAGTCGAGATTACCAGAAATTATTTTCGACGTACCGTTTACGTTCGGAATAATTTTGGTAATTAAGCATTATATTTAATTAAATAATCAAACATAATTAAGTTATTAATTACTAATTAATCACGAGCTTAAGTATTAAAACCGTACGGAAAATCCCAATTCATTAAAATGCCGTGGCATTATTTTTAAGTGTGAAAAATCATTCCTTTTCCTTTAAACTCATGTACGTGGCATCATTATATGAGATTAAGGAGTGATTAAGCATGTATGTTGATGAGTAAGCTCTCTTAAGTATTATAAGTGTGGCAAGTGGTGCAAGGAGAAGAAACCACATCACCTCTTCATCACCTCATCTCCTCTCGGCACCTTATATATAGATTACTATGGGAAAATTTTCCCAACTTTTCCTTAAGCGTATATAAGTCTATATTCAGCATACCATATATATTATAGAGAGTGAGAGTTAGTGTAGTTCTTGAGTATTTCATGCACGGCAAGTAGCAGCAGCCGCACGGCGAAGCAACGTACGCATAGCCCATAGCACACGCACGCCATACGCGTCGCACATCACGCACGAAAGGCCGATATTTCCGAACAGTTAGCTAACTCAGTCAGTTTTTGGAAAGGTAACTTCGGTACATTCATTTTTAAGTCATGTTAGATGAAATTCGGATGAGTCATGTTCATGATATAGCTTAAGTTTGGTCTCGGCCGTGCGTGTGACGTGTGCTAGGCATGTTCATGTATAATTCAGCAATCCCTCGAGCAAGTCTCCCATGTTTAGTTATTTACGTGAAATCATGATCAGTCAGTTCAGGTTGCTCGGAGTATGTTCAAGTTTATGCGGTGTTCGGCCAAGGGGACGTGGTCGCGCATATAGCGCACCACGGGTCGTGCATGTGCGTTGAGTATGGTTAGTTCAAATCCATCGAGTATATCATGCTATTTTATTCAGTAAATATTGATCATGTTCAGATGAGGTTGACTTGCTG